ACTTAACCATACTGCATCCGTACACCTTATTTTAGTACGACTTCGACATTCTTTATAAGCGATCAAGTGCTAGTACATGCCTGAGGTTCAAAATGCACTATGGGTTGATTCTGGGCAACACTTGGTCCAGACCCTGGCACTATCCTTTAATCAAAATCGGTTCAGTGGTTTAGGCGTGAAAGCAAGACAGACAGACAGAGTTAATTTCGCATTCATAATATTAGTATCATAGAGAAACCATCGTAAGCAAAATTCTTCATTCGTGGGTTCAATTCCCGCCTTAGGCAGTTCGATTTTATCAAGTTACTTATTTATAATTAAAAAAAAAATCTAATTATTTAACTGTAAACGCAAAATTTCAAAATAAGTGAGTTTTCTTGTCGTTTGGTACCCATAGTACAAACTTTGCTTAGTTTGGGACTAGAAGGCACACTGTAAAATATCCAAGGATAATTATTTATTTTAAAAGACGGGACTTCTTATAAAAAGCATTCGTGAGTGATAAAATGTATTTAATTAAATAAATAATTAAATAAATTAATTAATATCCCTGGACATTTTACACTACGCTTCCAGTCCCAAACTAAGCAAAGCTTGTACTATACTAGACAACGGATATAAACATACCTACTTAAATACTTTTTTTTGGGTAAATACATAAAATTAAACAATTAAAAGTCTTAAGTGTTACATAGACTATTTTCAATGTACAAATAACGAGTAAGTGTCACTTACGCCGTTTTAAACATGCAAATAATAAAATAGATCGGGACTAGCACAACGTATACTATGTTATTTGATTTTATCTACCATTTTGCTATCAAAACGTACAAAAAATGACATTATCTTGTTATGGACACGCAAACCGCTAATGTGACAGATCATAACAAAAACGAGTGATTCAGATAAAAAACAGCCTGAGCCTGAGAGGGTTCCGTAGTATTTTTTATCTTAATTTAATAAGTAAGTATAGATAAAAGGACCTAGCGAAAAGGACTTAAGGGTAGTTTTAGCCGGGGATGCATTGCATACGATAAAGTTTTTGTGTCAATCAAAATTTCATGCGAGCAAAGCCCCTGGCAAAAGCTAGTAACTTATTATGTAAGTTATGATTCTTGTTATGGTTTTCCTTTTTTATTTCTCAATATTTTTCATATTTTACATTAATGGAGCAGAAGCTAGATTTTTTTCTCAATAATTATGATCTCTAAGTGTATCTTTTCGGCAAAAAAATGTGCGGAACCATTAATTTAAAGCATTATACCTAAATAAAAAATTAACAAAGATAAAATTATCAGCTGTATAAATTAAGAGGTTAAACGTATAACATTGTTTAGCTTAAATTATCTGTAATGTAATTAAAATGTTATTGACTCTTTTCCTGGTGTGAAAACGCTTAACTATACTTAATTCCTTTTACATTAAAAATAAGTAAGTTTTTAAATGTCGCTATTTTTATACCTGACTAAATACCGCCATCTTAACCAAGTCTGTTGCTATGACAACAATGATATCAGCATTGTTGTGTTCCGGCAGTTGGAAGTAAGATAGCCAGTTCCTCTGTGGTTGAGGATTTTAGGTGAAGCTCGCTTTCACCTTCGGCCTGATCATCACTTTCTATCATATGAGATGCAGGCTAAGAGCTTACCCTTGTGAGTAAAGAAAATTCAATAGATGCATCGGAAATAGCTCTATCACACTAATCAAAATTACATTCAGCAGATCTTTAGTTAACTTTAGAAAGAACAAGTATTAATCTATAAAATGCATGATGACGGGTTATCTAAATATATGTAACTCAAAGGTGACTGACTGACTGACTGACATAGTGATCTATCAACGCACAGCCCAAACCACAGGACGGATCGGGCTGACATTTGGCATGCAGGTAGATGTTATGACGTAGGCATCCGCTAAGAAAGGATTTTACGAAACTCCACCCCTAAGGGGGTAAAACGGGATCCACGCGTACGAAGTCGCGGGCGGCCGCTAGTCGACTAATATAATCGTCGCTGTCGGGATTCGATCGTAGGTACTAAGCGTAATCCAGCACGTGAACCACCAGGCCATGTTTGTATTAGAGTAAGAACTTCGTCAAATCTTTCGTTTTAGTAAAATTAGATACCAATTAGGTAACTAAGGATGTCGTAACAGGTAACTAAGACACAAATATACGAATATCAGGCCTCCACAACCATTTTGATAAAATAGAGAGGGTCATAATATCGATGCCTCCTAAGTAAACTATCGTATGTCTTAAAACCAAACTTTACAGTAGAGCCATTTAAAGATATTTATGTGTGCAGTTTTCCCATCTTTTGAGCTAGAGNTTAAAAAAGGAACGTAAAGAATCGTATGTGTTAATTACTGTAGTTTTGAATAGCTAGTAACAAAATATAAGGCAATTTTCAACACCAAAAGGAAAACTGTAATTACTACTTACCTAATAGTATGTGCTCGCTAGCGGTGAACCAAACCGCTTCTCCCCTGTAGACGATCGCACAGGACATTACGATAGTATACGTTGCGATCGTGGATTACATACGATTGAATACGTGTGAAAAATCTTTTATTTTAAATGATATTGCAATTTTTGTTCGTGGGTTCGATAATACGTATTTTAGTAAATATAAAATGCTTATAAAATCAAAATTGATATTTTGTGGCTTACGATTATTTACTTAGGAGGCATCGATATAGGACATAGGGCCTCCCCAACCCGCCTGGTCAGTGAGGGGAGTGTAGGCCAAATCCATTTAAAAGTTGTTACAGGTATTTGACAGTTTGTATACAGGTTGTTAGGTAAATGGGTATATGAGCCGACACTAACCCTATTTTAATTTCATAAAATCGGATATTATAAAATTTATTTTGTATGAAAATTTAAAATATTAAAATGATGATATCAAATTTCTGACTTCACCATACCATTTATATGACCGTGTTAACAACATGGGCTAGTGTCGGCTCTTATACCCATTTACCTAACACCCTGTATACGAACACCAGGCCTCTACAACCCGTCTGGCCAGCGTGGGGAGTGTAGGTACAAACCTATTTGCTTCTGGTAAATTAGAGGGTCGTGCTCCTCTAGTGGAGACTAAGTGACCTGATGATAAGGCCAAGTTTGCCTGTTAATGAAGATTGACAGGTTGTAGGTCAAATCAATTACTTTTGACGAGTTACCTTTTAAGAGAAGAACCTTTCTAATTGCAAATCGTTTTCCTAATTCATTAATATTAATGGATGAAAATAGAGGTTATCTACAAAAGCCTTGCTCTACTTAAATAACTTATTTTATAAGTGGGATGTATTGGGAGCAATATCTATCTAATATTATAAATGCGAAAGTAACTCTGTCTGTCTGTTTGTCTTGCTTTCACGCCTAAACCACTGAACCGATTTTGATGAAAGGCATAGGCTTAGTTTGAGTCCCGGGAAAGGACATAGGATAGTTTTTATCTCGGGTTTTGAAACAGGGACGCGCGCGATAATGTTTTTCTGTTACAGACAAAATTCCACGCGGGCGAAGTCGCGGGCGGAAAGCTAGTAGCTTAATATAGTCTCTACAAAATAACACAATATTAACGGGACTATTCCCACCTCTCGTTCCCACCGCTGCAACTCCTGTGTAGCCAGGATCTACAGCTTGAACGCTAATAACCCAACCAGTGAAGGTCAAGTTTGTCCCGGGAGAAAGTTAAACTGTCATTGGACCCGCAACGAAATTAATCAGAAGAACATAGGGAGTTCGAAGTTAAGGTTAGACTTCCTACCATTGCATTGTAAAGCGTATTACATAATTATTAGGCTAAAATAAATAATTATGAATTTGAACTAATGATATTCGTTTATCATTATTTTATTGAGGTTATCGAAATTGATGGCCACCTATACCGATGGTTCGCATATCTACCAGTTAGCGTATCTACCAGTTACGCGGGTTTAGTTCCCACTGGAGAAAAATTTTAGTGTTATAAGCACAAGCATAGTTATCATAGAAGTAGATACAGTCAGCATCAAATATATGATGACACCCAAAGTGACCAAAAATTTGATAACGCAACCTTATTCCAATGAGGGCTATCGTTTTTATACTTAACAGTTGGCACCCCTGGCGATTGACAGGACCTTACTCTACAGTGGCGCCATCTTGATGAGTGCAAATGCGATAGTCCTCCTACCACTTTAGCGCTCACCAGTTGGCGCCACTGTCTTCGCTACTAGCAAGTGACAGGACCTTACTCTACAGTGGCGCTAACTGGTGAGCGCTAAAACGATAGCCCTCATTGTAACAAAGAGGTGTTGCGAACTTATTGGCTACTTTGGGTGTCACAAACTATTTGACGCTGACTTTACTTAGAGTATATTACAATATTTAAATACCTACTATCCCTTCCAAGGAAGGAAACAGGAATAAAAATGGTTTTACAGGATTACAGGAACCATTTTTTTACAGCAGATTATGAAAAATATTTTTCGGCAAATATGGTTGGCAATATTTATAATTTTGGACCTTAGAGTAGTTAACACTGGGACGCAATATTCCCTAGGGTTGTCTTAGTTTTCGACACTGATGGAATAATAAATACTAGAATACACTAATTTAAATACGTATTTAAATTAGTGTATTCTAGTTATGAATAATTTTTAGCAAAATCATCACTGCATTATTCACGCTTATACTTAGAATTGGAACAAATTTTCCTCTCGTTATTATAGCTTCTAATGTAAAATAGGGAATACCTACTTATTTAAATATCAATTAAGTAACTTGTAACCTTCAAAATGTAATCACATTATTTTCATGTAGCAAAGATTGAACTTTATCACTAAATCATGCAATTAATATTAATTTATGCATTCAATTATGATATAAACGCAGTTCAACTAAACCTGACCTGGTTTTTGAAATTAACACTAAAGAGGTCAATTTAAAATTAAAACTTTTTTTAATTAGCACTAAAAAGGTTAAATATAAAATTAAAACTAAAACTCACCGTTATTTTCTTTTTTCCCGTTCTTAGCGACGATCATGCCATTCGTCTCGCACTGGCTGGTAGAGACGACTCCATTCAGCTCCTTCATCTTCGAAACTTGAAATTTGAACTTTCAGAAAAAGAAAACTCGCGAGTCTAGGCGCGAATCCGTTTCGCGCGCTTCCAAACGTCACTTTGACAGGTAATTTACGTTTTAAACCGCGGAGTGGCAATGGCAATTGAAGCGAGCAACCTGTTCGGTGCTACGGCCAAGGTGATCGCGCAGAAAAAAGAACAAATGGCTGAAAGTATTTATGTGAAAAAAATGGAGGTGTTTTACTGGCCACGGCTAGCGTCGAAATGGCGGACAGGCGGACGAAGATAGGTATATTTATACAAAAAATGCACTATCAATACTTTATTTGAAGTGAAGTAACGTTGTGTAAGACAAATTTTATTGTTAAATAATTTGGTGGTTAGAGTTCATTGACATAAGAGGTAATTATTACGAAATAGTTTAGTTTATTGCGTTAAAAGTATTTTTACCGTAACGAAAAGCGGATGCTCGGATGTATCTTGCTTTTTAAAATATTTATTTTAATCCTACTTTTTAAACGTGTATAATAAATTATCGTGTTTGAGATTAATCAAAACAAAAAACGGATCAATATAGGTACTTACTCATAATCTAGACTGACGTGCAAAAAACTTGAACTTGATTTCAAAAGGTTAGATTTTATTGTTTTAGTTGATACAGACATTTCGATAAGAGCCAAGTTTTGGTAAGTACATTTAAAAAATAATTAAATATATTTCTAAGTTTAATAAATCTTTTAGAAATAAATTGCAACCTTACAGTCAACCGAAAATTGTTGCATCAATTAAATTGTATCCCTTTTTAAATAATAATAAAATTAAATAAAAAATTTGCCCTCACAACACCTGTATGAAACTGCAAAGTTTAGGTAATTAGTTTTTAACTGAAGTAGGTACCAACTCCTCTCTATTGGTAAGTTCATTATTTATTTATTTATTTAAACTTCTGCACATAAATACAATGCACTGTGGCGGACTTAATGCCGGATGGCATTATCTCAGATCCAGGTCCCGGGTTCGATTCCCAGAGGGGGTAAAACTATTCGGTTTAGTTGGTGGTAAAGGTTGCTCTAAGTTGCACCTGGTTAACTACCACCATCTTACCTAAAGGCTGATTTACACGTATAAGTAGATAAGTAGGTAACTAAATTTTAACTTGATTTTACTGTCAAGTTGGTGGGCGGAGCTTGTCGTCACTTGACACGTTTTGACAAGCACTTTCATAGTATAGATGACCCACGCTGAACTGTCCCGCCAAACTCAATGACAGGGGGGCGCTACCATCGTTCAACTATATGGTTTCCAACATGACAAAAATCTGAACCAGCGATCCGGTATTGACGGTGGCGCCCCACTGTCAATGTCATCGACAGGACAGTCCAGTATTTTGGAACTATAAACCAGAGTTTGACGTTTGGAATTAAGTTATTTAGTTACGATGCAATTTGATCACTTAAAATTATTTATTTATTTATCTTTATTAAAGAAACATACATCCTTGTTTGACACATGCAGCTTAAAATTAAGTGGGTTATACATTGGCCTTTAAAGTTTCTAAAGCTAGGTTGTACAGTCAAAGTTGAAAAGGAGACAGATGTGTAGCATAATTTAGCATAAGTTACATACTTACTTAAAAACTACTTAATACGTGTAAATCAGCCTTAAATCTGTCGCTATGACAACAGATTCCTAATGATGCAAACGCTTGGATCAGTCCTTAATTCGATTCCGGGGTCAATCAAGGTGTAGATTTTGTACTAGTTTTTGTTAGCATTAACACATTATCATGACATTAATAGCATGTGTGCATTAACTACACTTATGATAATAATTGTGTTGTATTTTGTTTTGTGACAATGACAGACAACTTTTTATTGAGCCTACCTCAATAAAAAACGTAAGTACTTCTAACTTTACCAATTAAGAATCTTGAGCACACGATGTCGCGGGCACAGCTAGTAAATAAACAAAGTCATATAACTCAAGATGACGTATTCCACTTTTAGCACCCGCTCAAATAGCACCCACGCGAATAGCACCTGGGCCACTTAGAGCACCTATCGATATAAAAATCCACGAAAAACACCTGCCCATAGTGTTTGTAAAGGCGCCCCCCTGTCAATGTCACGGGTGGGGCGGTTCCGTGTAGGACATCCTTTTGATGTTTAGTGAACTTGATAATAATTGGTTTTAATTACTAAAAAATATAATAAACTACTCGTAGCAGTACATACCCGCGATTTAGTAAGGTCAGTTAACTGCGCACCTGGCTGCCGTGACGTCACATCGGCGCTGTGGTAAACGGGGCGAACGCGGGAAGGTGTGTGTGTTTCACCCGGGTTGTAGTTTGAATATTTTTTCCCGTATTTGCAACATTTTTAGTACAACTCTTTTGAGTTTCCTTGTACCCTGTACTCGTATATATGTCACGGTTGATGTGATAAATTGAAAATTATGAATAATCGCCGGTTATTATGAATAATTCCCGACAGTCGCGGTAAAAGTGATAAATTAATCACATTTAAGAGTGATTATTTAATAATTTAACCTTAGTACTATAACATATTTCATAAAAGAGAACAACATCTTGTGTACGTGCTCGTGTAGGTACAGCCAAACTTTTGAACGTTTTGACGTCATATATTATTATAATTTGGCATAATGAGTTTGGAATGTTTCTTGCATAATATCACTTTTCCATGATGCCTATAAATAATGTTTTAATTTAGGTAAAGTGAAAAATAGGTTAAGGTGCGGCGGAAAAATAGGTTAATCTGATTTTTATGTATAATACTTGGGCAATTACTACAAGTATTTTCCCCAAAAGCCAGACAGTTTTGACAGTTCCAACTCCTTGCCAGACAGTTTTTTTAGGATAGCTCCCAAAGCCACCACGACCCAAACTCCATAATTTACCAACATTATATCCTATATTGGGAGCATACGCTGACAAACTTTCAGCTTTTATAAAATGACGTAGGTCTGGCGTTCACTAGCTCTTAGTCTATACTTTCAAACGTAATAAGTGAAACTACTGTTTAGAGCTAGGAAAGCGACTTGAGTAGTTACACGCCCGTATCCACAAACGATGCTTGCTTAAGTGAAGCAGCAAATCGAACGCACAGCGTTGAATAACTCTGTGATTGGTTCGTGTATCACCCTGTGCCTCCACGGGCACTGTGAGACCTCATAGTAATGTCTGTGAATACGGGCGTAAGTCTTTATCCATAATATTAAGTTGCTTTTACACCCTGTATTTTACCTTAAGTGAAAAATGTTGACTTGACCATTGTGCGGTTGAACGACCGAGACTTTCAAGATAATGTAAACAACTTAATTTTTTTAAACAACTCTGTTTATATTTTACTAGCGGCCGCCCGCGACTTCGTACGCGTGGATCCCGTTTTACCCCCTTAGGTGTTGAATTTTGCAAAATTCCGTCTTAGTGAGCACCTACGTTCTAAAAGGAGCCCCCATGCAAAATTTGAGACTCCTAGCACTTGTAGTTTCTGAGATTTCGTAATAAGTCAGTGAGTCAGTCAGTCGGTGACCTTTCGCTTTTATAAATATAGAATCGAGCTTTATATATTATAGACTCTGTTTATATTTTATTAAGAGCCGATTTTCCATCGCAAGATTACCTACTTATAATAGCTAAATTGTCCGCGGCTTCGCTCGCGTGAAATTCAGTCGTCACATTTATAGCAGCCTTTCCCAAAGTGGGCGATAACGCCCCCTTGTGGGCGCTGCAGGCCCCCCACTAAGTGGACCGACGATCTGGTGAAGGTCGCGGGAATAGCCTGGATGCGGGCAGCGCAGGACCGGTCATTAAGGAAATCCTTGAAAGGCCTTTGTCCAGCAGTGGACGTCATTTGGCTGAAACGAACGCATACAAGCATACATTAACACCTTTGCTGCGGCAGTTACTTTCTAATACTTTCCATTCCTTCGGTACAAGGTCAGTAAACCTGGTATTAAAACTTACATTGTGGCGGCACAAGGCTTAAAGACCTTGTAATATTTAAGATATATTAATTTTATTTTTGGCTTCATGTTAATAGATATTGTGTTTTTTTTCTTTGAATATTAATAATAATGCATTTATTGACATACACCTGAAGGCGTTCGTGAATAACTTGTTTAGTATAAAAATTATAGCTATATTCAAAATACAAGGCTTATGCACCCTGTGCCGCACTTCTGCACTACTTCTTGCACTTACATCTCACCATTTCCAGGCAAGCCTCGGCAGCTACGGGCAAACCGGTCCATGTAGGCTCCATCTTGCTATCGGCTCTGGTCCACCCCCAACCAGTCGGGTAAAGGGAAGACTGAGTCGGTTGCTTGCAACTAATCCTATACGCGAACCCCTTGGATTGATTTAATAAGTAAGTGGATAGATCTTGAACAAGGGACGACTAGAAAAGAGGACCAAAATCCCAACAGAGCAGCCTAATCTGGTTTACTGATAGCTCAAAGATGCAGTAGCGGCGTAGGGGGGGGGCGGGTGCCAAGCATCAGAGGGTGACACATGTCGCACAGATAAGTACTCACTGGCGCATCTGCATAGCAAGTCTGCGGTCTATGTCATTGTCTTTCAATCTTGGAATCGGTAGGTAACCCCAAAATCGTGGGGGTTATCAGGGGGTACCTTAGGGCTTACGCCGCCACTGTAAAGATGGCCTTGGGAACGGGAACGGGCGTCTACTGTAAACACTTCGAACATAGTGAACGCTTAAGGAGGTTTGCTACAGTGTTTCAAGCTGAATTCTACGCTATAAATTAGCAATAAATCGTGTAGCAAATTAAATTATAATCAATTTGCAGTTTTGATTTTGTTTCTTTTTCTTGACGCCATGTCGACATGTGCGTTTCTTACGAATGAGAGGCAACACTGGCTGCACGAAGCTAGCGTGGGGTGCGGTACCAGGTGCGCAGGGTACAAGGTGCTTCGACCTGGTTTCGCATTGTGAAGACATTTTATTACTTCCGTGCGGTACCAGGTCTAAAAACCTGGTATTAAGGTAGGTACATCATTGGATTCTATTTTAAGAATACATCATAGATATATATTCATCACTTTCCTACACCGGACCCAATTGAAGTTATGCCTTTCGCACGACAAGGAAGACTATAATTTTCTTAGCCGCACGGTAAGCGAGACGTACACAAGGTCTATAGACCTGGTTTCGCACTCAACGTGTTAAGGAAAAGTTATGACACACCACTAACCGCAAGAAATCTGAAATCCCCGGC